CTTTTTTTTACTTGCTACTTACAGATTTGCATGCTTTCTATACATTATATGCAAAGACAAATGCTTTCTGAGCATGTCAGTACACTGTGTGTACCACTGAGTTATTAGTGGGATGTTGGCAATAGTGTATGGGCTTGCAAGGTAATTTCTAGATTATTGTTCTTGGCTTCCTTTGATTACTGTGAACATGCATGTGGGGAAAACTGGACTTTGGTTGTGCTTATGTCATACTGACCATAATGTGCCAGAACTTATCAGAACTTATATCTTTACCATTATCAGAGAATGGTGTGTGTGACAGAGGTGCAACTAAACATTATGTGAAGCTTTGATTAACCAAAGCCATGAACTAAATCTGTAGCATCTGTAGGGCTATCCAGTGATGACCATGTTATATGGAAGATTGTGACTTGGACTGTAAGAGGAGTAAATGGTAAATAAGTATGAATTAATAAATGAAATGAAATAAAGAAAAATAGAAAAACTTTGTGTTTGTGAAACTAAGAGAAAGTGGAAGGATGCAACAATCTTATTGAAGGTGGCCTGATCTTATGACCTGGGGTTGATGAATACATGCAAGGAAATGAACACCAGGTTTAGTTATGAATGAAAGGAATAGAATATATGTCAGAAAGTATGATATTGGTGTCATCTGGGGTGTTGTGGATACATATGAAGATAGAAATCTGTAGGCTGCAGTAATGAAGGAATATAATGAAAGAGTGAGAGATTAGTTTTGGGAGAAAATTGTACAACATTCTGAATGAATGCAATCCAAGGAGAAAAATTAATCTATGAGGTGAGATAAATGAATGGGTGGGGACAAAACAAGAGATAATAGAGGTATTTGGGTCCCTTGAAGTTCTAAAAATAAGCGAGAATACTGTTTGATGAGTTTATTGATAAACACATATCAATACTGTTTGATGAGTTTATTGATACACATATATGCAAAGGAACTAAGATAAACTGAAAAACATAATTGATTTGAGTGTGCATGATGAAAGATTGAGATAATTAGTGAAGGATGAGTTTTCAGAAGTTCTGAATGCAGAACAAACTATTTGGAGGGGCATTACATGTGGTTCTTGGGGGTGTTACATGTGGTTCTTTGGGAAAAATGGAGATGGAAGAAAAGGTATGAAATGAGAGTGAACATGGAACATACAGGAAGAGAAAGTATGTATGCATATTGTATAATGTGCCTTGAGAAAAAGATAATTACAAAAAGTATAGTCAGAGAGCAGGGGACGGTTAAGATTAAAAGAGGCAGAGAAAATGCATAACAATTTTGATGGAAATAAAACATTGTTATAGAAATAGGGAAGAGGGCTAAACAAGGACCCTCCAGCAGAGAGAATGGAATTAAAAATAAAAGTGATGAAACTGAAGTGAGGGAATGTTGGAAGCAGTATTTAGAGATTTGTATGGGAATGATAGTGATATGGTGAAGAGTGGAATTGAAACAAATGCTATTAACATTAGTGTCCAAAAAAATGGATGAAAGGGAAATTGTAAGTGCTTAGAGAATGTTGAAAAATGATAAAGCTATTGATATAGATAGTGTAACTGGAGATGTGTTAAAATAAGGATGTGGTTTGCTTATAGAGTGCCTGTGAAATTTGTTTAACACTGGAAAACTGCATCTGTTTCTGATAATTGGGGAATGCTGTTATTATTCCCCTATATAAAGTGAAAGATAGCAAAAATGAATGTAGCAACTACAGAGGAATTTTTTAAAGTGTATGTTTGGGAAGGTTTTAGCAGAATTCTGATTGAAGGGATGTGAGAGGTGACAATAAGCAAAATTTGGGAAATGCAGTACGTACAGCTTTATGCATAACAGATTTTTGCTGTTCAGCAGATAACTCAGAAAGCAAGACCTAAGTTTTATTTTACATTTATTGATTTAGAGAACACATGATAAAGTGAATAGGTTTGAATTATGGAATGTTTTGCCTGAATATGATAAAGGTTGATTGCTGAATGCAACAAGAGCAGTATCAGATGAAAGTAAAGCATGCATGAGAATAAATGGAATTCTTAGGTAATTATTCAAGACCAAACAGGGGACAAGACAAAGATATATGTCTTATATATCCTTGTTTGTTTAGCATGTTTATGGATGAATGTATATGGAATGCGTACAGTGATGTTAGAGATGTGTTGGTTGGGGACATGAACATATATTTTCCTGTACAGATGATGTTGTGGTGTTGGCTGAGAACTTGGATGATTTGTAGTGAGTGTTGTAGTGAATGTTAAGACTATATGATGTGATGATAATAGGGATCTGAAAATTCATGTATTGAAAATGAGGGTAACTGTTCGACAGAGAAAATGGAATGAAGTATTGCAAGTTATACATAAATTGTGAAAAATTAGAGCAAATACAATCTGTGTACCCTGATAGAATATTCACTACAGATGGGGAAATGGATGGGAAAAAATTAAGTATGCAATCACTAATTGAAAGATTATAGATTGCATGTAGAATATTGTGAGGAATGAATGTTTGGTGAAAGAAGCAAAAATAGTTCTGGCCACTTTGCTGTATAAAAGTGAGAACTGGATATTTCAGGAGAAACATAAAAGTGAGGTGGGAATGGGGAACTTAAATGTGTTTGCAGAAGAGAACAAGAAGAGAGATTATTAAGAATAAATGGACACTGAATCTAGAATGACTACAAAAGTGAGATACCATATTAAAAAAAGAGTATGGAGCTGGTTTGATCATGTAGAATGAATGAATGAGGATCAATTTGGAAAAATAAATATATGAAGAAAGAGTGAATGAGTCAAGAGGAAGACTGATAAAGTTGTGGTTGGATAGAGATGATATACTCAAAAAGAAAGAGGTGAGAAATGTGAAGAACAAAAGACAATGTATGAAATGGTGGAAGTAAGGATGGTCTGCAAGGATAGAAAAGTATGAACACGAGTGTGGTTGATGTAAGTCAGATTATTTTTCTTATTCCATATCTTCAGTTTCTTCGGCTTCCTATTTCTAGTCCATTTTTGTGCTTTGCATAACAACAAAAGGGAACAGCATAATGGCTGTGTAAGTATGTATGCTTTTTACAAGATTTTATTTATTTTTCTCACTCACCATAATCATAATTCTCCCACAACATACTTGTTTTCTTTTCTTTCAGTTGTAAAGAGTCAAGCATATTCATGATTTTTATTTCCTTCTGTGCAGTCATTTGATGAGGCAGAACTCAAGCTCCTTGGAAGGAACCACAC